TACGGTGATCCGGATGCGGTTGGGGAGCGGTCCGTGTATATTTAAGACGATCGCAGCGCAGCTTGTCGTCATAATGAGGAAACCTAACGTATTTCAACTGCTGGCTTACTCGTTTACTAGTTGACTAGCTAGCTATTTCTGAATTAAAACTTTGTTTCGAATTTCTGTTTTTACAAAAATGACGAAAGCTTCAGATCAACCGATAGAATGTACTGAGTATATAACATCACGTAAGTCTGGAATGGATTGAATACTACAAGCTAACACGAAATCGCGATCGGTAAAACTAGCATAGCATGGAATGAAAACTAGCATAGCATGGAATGAACACGCAATAGATTTGTAAACGAGTGCAACAACACAAATGTACATAGCATGGAAAAAGACTAGGGAAGTAATACAAATGAACATAGAATTAATACAAATGAACATAGAATTAGATTCAAAACCAGAAGTAACTAATTCTATAACTTATCAACTAGGGAAATAATACAAATGTACATAGAATTAGATTCCAAACCAGAAGTAACTAATTCTATAAAAAATAATTATGGCGGTGATCCCCTTCCATAGTCCCAGAATGCTTCGTATGCTTATACATAATATTTTAATCAAATCCCGTTTATCTAATCAAATGACATTTTTTCTGCATATTATACTGTGATGAACCATTTTCAAAGTTATACACTATAAGAGAATGCATAAAATATGAAATAATTCGTTTAGCTTTTGTTAAAAATGTTGCTGCATATTTTTTTTTTATTGAGGATTGATTTTTCATTAGCATTAGCATCATATAAATGGGGAGCAGCAGCCTTGTAAGAGCATGTTGTATTTTGTAATTGGAATACTGTGATAATAAGTTGTTTATTAATAATTAAACATGACTTGCCACTCAATGTTCACTTGGTTTAAAACATTTATATAACGGACAAAGAAGACGATATAAGCATTCATTATGTGTTTTGAAAAGTCTTTACACGTTTTAGGTTTGGGGGAATTGTTTGATTCCACACCGAAAAATACATGTATACAGCAGACCTTGTTCAGATGTTATGTTATAAAAACCGAAAGCAATAATAACCAATTCATGACTGGTATACTAATTTGCGATATTCAATATATGATATAACGACGCTGATAAAGACTTAAAATGAACTTTCATACTTATTCTGTACATGATTAAACATCCATTCGTGACCATTACAAATACCTGATTAAAACTTTTTCATCCTCACGTCGTCAAAAAACAATAAAGTATTGGAAAATACATACCTGTATCAATATATTGCATTCCTCGTGTAACGCCTGCAATGAATTCTTCAGCCAACCACTCGAGCAGCCTGTTGAACAGATACCGTTAAAAGTATATTCTATTTGTTGTATAAAGTGTGTTGTATATTGAATGATGTATGTCGTGCATTGTATGATGTGTATTTTACTTTGTGTATTACGCGCCGTTGTGTGTTGTATGATGTGTGTTGTATGTTGTGTGTGTTATATGGTTTGTGTTGTATGATGTGTGTTGTATGATGTGTGTTGCATGATTAGTGTTGTATGATGTGTGTTGTATGTTGTGTGTTGTATGATTAGTGTTGTATGATGTGTGTTGTATGATGTGTGTTGCATGATTAGTGTTGTATGATGTGTGTGGTGTATGATGTGTGTTGTATGATTAGTGTTGTATGATGTGTGTTGTATGATTTGTGTTGTATGATTTGTGTTGTATGATGTGTGTTGTATGATTTGTGTTGCATGTTGTGTATTGCACTCTGCGTGATTACATGTGTATGCGATTAACATAAACAACAGTGAAAGTTTAAAATGTATCATTAACGTATATTTCATGTTTTAGTAGAATATATAAAATCAAGCAATTATGACATCGTTAAGTTAAATGAAACTGTTATCGTAATGATACATTATGTATATCATGAAAGATCGTATATATTAACATGTTTTAATAAAAACAAAGCCTACCTTTTAGCTGTAGCAGCAAAGTCTCCAGACGGTTGTTCAGCCATCCACGTCATTAGGTATTCGAATTGATGTATATCGACTATTTCTGATCGCATAATCTGTATCTGGCTTTGCATGGCTGGATTCAAGATTGTTATCCTCATTATAGTTTTCATTTCAGAAAATTTTATTGTACTGATCTTATGTACAAAAGGAATTGGGCAACAGCCATAGCCTATATAAGCCCCCTCCTTACAAAACATAACAGTATATACATATCATATAAATGTTACTTTTACAGATGTTTCTGATATCAAAATAAGAGATTATTTGTACTTTGAGTTTGATTTGACAATACATATTTCAAATATCGCAATTGTTGTAAGAGAGATTATTTTACAAAGCTATTTGAGAATCTAATCTCATTATAGTTGTCGGATAGGAACTGGATATGGCCCAACCAAAACCATTACCATGAGCAGATGTGTACTTTTCGTCATCGGATGTGATGTCTTCCTTCCCCATGACGTCATTCAAAGATGTGTTTTCTTCGCCAATAGCTTTTCTGACATTTCTTACCAAAACTTTGCCGCCGTTCTTTGGCACACGAGGCGGCAACGATTTTCTCTGACTAGGTGTCTTTTGTAGAACTTGTTTAAATAAGTCCCTGGTTTTGGGATACATAGAAGTATTTACAGGCGGTGTTGATGGCAACTTCACCGAAAAAGGCGCTAGAGCAGTCATTGATTCTGTTAGGATAGACTGCGGATTTTCTGTGACGGCAAACGTTTCAACTTGTTGTTCCTGTTCCTGTGTGTCCGATAAACTTAAATTATGTGGCAATTTCTTCTTCAGAATCTCCTGACCCATCCGAACTTTTTGGTTTATGGTTGTGAAAAGAGTCCAAGTTTCTAAGAACAATACCAGATATATGATTGTACATGTAATGGTATTTATAATAAATTCGGAGAAAGTAGGAAATTATGAAATTACATTCTTTTTTTAATCTTATTTTCAATGACCCCAAGGTAAAGTTAAAATATAAGTCTAAATTTCCTTTATATTTTCAAATCCACGTTCTATCTATTTGTTTATTTTTTTCTTTGTAATGATAAACTCGAATTTCTACTGCCTTCGTAGAACAAATTGAATTATGACATGTGGACCTTTGTATTACATATTGCTACCTATTTTTATATTACTTAAACCACTCATACATATGCCCTTATATGCTTTGATAACGCAAAAATGAACATCATGTTTGGAGAAATAGCTTTTATTACTACAAATCATTTAATCTTGATTTATGTATATGTATTTATTAAATGTTAAAAAACGGTACAAAAAATATGTATGTTTGTCAAACATTGAATTTGAACGATAGAGCCAAAATATCAGCCATCAGCTAACAGTGTGACGTCACATTTGCTATGATACAAACACATTTCAATAGAATATGTTTATCGATATAGATGATATGACAAATGCTAATATTTTGGTATTCATACCTTTCACAAGACATTGGATGTGGTCACGTGTATCTACCAACGGTCTATAAGAAAGTAAAGGCACAATTAATATGTGTTTTAAATTAATCCAAATCATACCTCGTAACGGTAGGTGTCGTAAGTGAATAATCCTCTACTCAAACAAACACTATCTCATTATGCATAATAGTAAATATAACCCACTTTAAACGCCCTGTGTGGAAAGCCTTTCAAGTAAAACTAAAATAAATGACGAAAAATTACAATTTCGTTTCAGTAAAACTAACAATATGTTAAATACTCTTGGTGAATAATTTCAGTTGAATAAATGGAATGTGAATTTTGAAGAATTCAAAAAGTCTTTTGATCCATTTAAAGCAACTTTTTTCAAACATGTTTCTTTTCGCTTTTCTTGTTTTCGTCTCTTTACACTACGATACTTCATACCAAATTGAAGGATTGCATTCGTTCTCTTATTTTGGGAGTTGTTTTTCAAGAAAGGCAAAAATGAAATAAAGTGAGCATGAAGTTGTCAAATAGATTGATGTCCTGGGTGACGATGTTTTTGTTGAGTTTGGTAAAAAACTTCTCCAACATAATTTAAGCATTCTCATAGAAACGAACTGCCTTCTTTTTGCCGAATAGTTTTCTTTTCATACGAGACTGAAATAATTCTTGAGCTTATACTTGCTAATGACCCAAACTTAGCTAAGTCCTCCAATTTCACATTCAGATATATCAACAATGTACATTCTTTGAACAATAGGAAATGTATTGATCACGTCGATCGTTGTATATAACCCCTAGAATTTGAAATAAAAGAAACTACAGATTCCCATACTGCAGCTGCTTTCTGCGGGAAGATTGCGACTTTTCGATCGTGAAGTTTACCGTTCTATGTAGTAACATCCCTGCTTCCAAACCTACGACGTCTACACGTGTGTTGTATTTAGTAGTTTGCTCCGAATATCATTTCTGTCTTGATACATGTTTAGAGTCGATGGGCAAATCTTCAACACGGGGTATCCAGTACACGACCTCTTGGTGTGAATATGTGACAACACTTAGATTTGACCTATATTGATATGGCGGATGTCGTGGATGAAGCAGAAGACGCTTACACTTCCGGAACACTTTGTTTTATTCTCCTTAAACGTTTTAATGGGTCTCTATGTAAATATTTCCTTTGTTCATATTTTTGCCCTAGGTTTATGGATTTCGATTTTAAACTGTTCTTGAAATGGCGTGAGGGGTATACAGAAATGTGCTGAGTGAACCGAAAAGCATCGGATAGATAATAGATCATAGACATCAATGGCACATATTGAAGATATCACATATTAGAGTCCTAATCAAGTACACGAAAATACATAAATTAAATAAGATAACTAAATATCAAGAGAGATGGTGATTGGAATAGCCCCCACCGACAATCTCTCTTATTACTAGTATTAAGAATCTTTAAAATGGTTGTGTTATTAAAGGGACTTTCATATTAGTAATATATTTAACTGAAACAATAAGAAAAACGACACGATATCATAGCATGCACTTCAATCTGTGAATAGCACATAATAGTTCAGAGGTTAGGATGTCCCATAAATCTTTTATCATATACAAATATTTTTGGAAATTGTTTTAATTGAACATTTACAGTTTATATAGTATTTCTAGCGATTACTTATAATATTGTCATAGACACTTGGGTAATACAAATATAGCCTACCTTTGTAATTTAGTTACGATACTCAAACTCATGTCTGCTATTTCTCTCGTTACATCAACCACTTCTTTCAGTGCACACTGCATGCTTTGTGAAACCTAAAAACAACACATACGTGTGATAACGCATTTAGATGAGACTCATACATTGATTTGATAGAAGTCTACTGTCACATATGTATTGGAAATTGCTGGTGTACATCTGTTATACAATATTCGAAACCTTTATATCATAAGCCATTCGGCATTTAGCAATAGATGTACATTCATTTCAACACAACAGGTGAAAACTCATCCATTCTCGCTTCAAAATATCGAACCAAATGTTCGATTTAAGAATGATCAAGTTTACGAAACAAACACGATAGAAAACAGGAGTGGGGCATTTTAACCACAAGTTTGAAAATACCTCATTGGATGATATGTGCTCCATTCTGCGTTGAATCCAGTATTTGGAACCTAAGTAGAAAGCAGGATATAAAATCACTCGTACTGATAAAATGGCTTCACTTTGATCTAGAAACCCAAAGTAGAATACAATTAAAATCAAGTATAGATATTTTGTTATCGTAACATTCCATACCACATTCTATGGTATGATCATGTGTTCCCGATATGAATAGTGCTATTCGCTACTTGTTTAAAGTCATCACATGTATATGTAGCAATTCTCTTTATCATCTATATACTACTATATACCACCTACCGGGAGCATGTTAAATAAATTATCATTGATTGTCAGTATTAGAAGAAGTTGAGAACGACCTGAGAACAACTTGAGAAGATTTTGAGAACGGATTTTCCCATTTCCCAGCACTTGGGAACGTATTTTCTCAAAACAGAACGTCTGATCGCGTCAAGTGACGTCCGAAACCGGAAATAGTGTCCACACAAAAAATGATCTGCGAAAGAAAATAGCCCCCATAATAAACACATCAATACAAAGTTACGAACAAAACATTGTAAGAATAACAACACCATTTCAAGCGTAAATGCGCATATGGAAAAGCCAATGACGATACATAGTTTTAAGGATCATGGTATTCCTTCATGCAAATCTTCTTTTTGTTTACGTTTGTCACTGGCCGCGGATTTGCAATCGATGACCATTGAGCCTAGAAGTCGCTTGAAAAAATATGGTGTTTAGTTTACATTTTGAAATGAAGAAATATGTAAGGTACATGTAGTAGTCTATAGAGGAAAATCAGTTTCTCACACAGTATTGTTAGGGTTTGTCGTTTGAACAATTGTCACATCGCTTGCACGTGGATAAAATCGTTCTCACGACAAACTCTGAAAACACAGTGTGGTGATCTATACATCTATAACTACTATTCGCACATAGACATGCAATGCTTGTAGCTGTCTAGAACTAACAAATGTACAGGTATATACAAATGTAATTAAAACCTGATCATAACAATCACCTGTCCATTACTTCGGGATGAATGAAGATAGCATTCCCTTGTGGATTGTTAATACCTAGCCCCTTCCGTCATTCCATCCAACTTCTTTTTTTAATGTCGGATACAAAAGTGTGTGAACCTATTTTAATGTTTTGTTGATACTTTTACCAACACTATAGCTTAGTTTATGATGCATTTTATACTGTTAATAGAACACGGTTGTTAAATAACAGAGGTGAATACATTACGTTAAATACAATTCCTCTAACTCTGTTATGATGTATTGCTGTCAGGCTTGATATTAATTTTTCAAAATAAAAAAAATACTTTACGATTTTATCGAGACTTGCCGTTTTATGGGAAAATACGGTTTACTGATGGAATATCCGGTATAAATGAGTATTAGATTGATCATGTTGATGATGATGTCATGTTTGTCGCCTTTATTTTTAAACAATTAAGACTTTAGCTGGATTGTTCCAGTCTAAGATAATGTTCTCGGAATAGTTCTTGTAAGCGTTCTTTTTATTTTATGTTTAATATCCTTGAAAGAGTCAGATGATTTCATATTATATTTATTTCTAGGGACACTAATTTTGCGGGATGGTGATGGTGTAATCCCTAGCAAAAAACTGATGTGCTTTAACAATTTTTGACGAATATTGCCCGAAAGTTAAAATAGAGTTGCATTCGAAGATTGACTAGGGCTCATTGATGTTACTCTCTTGGTACAGTTAGAGAATTTTGCAAACAATGACAGGATCTTCTTCTGGCTTTTTACTAAGTCTTTTCAGTGACAGTGTTGTTTAGATTTAGAAAAGCTATATAGGGGTTGGTTTAGATTAAATACAAGATTTGGATAGTTTATGAATGGCAGGTCAAGGGTTTTATCCAGATTAGTGGGCTGGATAATAACCTATGGAAATGAATTGTTATTGCTAAGATCAATGTGTTGTTCATGTGGGTTTCCTGGCATGACACAGTAACGATGGATTAGAACTTCGATCCCTTTTCTTAAGTGAGGAGTGTATCGGGACAGAACGTATCAATCAATTGTCTGGTGGACAGATATGTTATTTCCTTGAGTTTTGGAAACTGATTTCTTCAAATATCATTCCGTGTCATATTGCAATTCAGCAACACCTGATGACAGCAGGTGATTACTACTGGCGAGGATAACACCACCATAGTACTGTCCTTTGGCATTTAACAAACGGTGCTTTTGATATTATTGTATAAATCTGAATTGAAAAACACAGATGATGACATTGTAGGTGATAGTTTATGTTACAATAATTATGTCTGGGTGTGATGGAATCGACCAATATATAAATATAATTCAGATTTTTATTTTTATTTTAGAAACCTGAACTTTATGTTGATAATTTTGAGAGGGTGAACCTTTCAACCATTGTATACGTACCTTTACTTGCTTTGGGGTAGCATAAGGATTTGATGAGGAGGAAATGAGCGAAGGGTCATGGCGTCCAGCTTCACTTAAAGAGAAAAGAAACTGAGTTTGTGAGGTGCAATGCATGTTATGAGAGCTTTCCATGAAGGGTCCTATCAGAAGACACCTACAATTAAATGGAATGTAAAGAATGAGTGTCTATAAGGCACTTTTTTGGGCCCTTATATATTCGGATTTTCACCTCCTTAATTTGTTCAAATATGTCCTATTGTATTACATGCGGAAAAACTAAAGTAAAAGTCTGACTGAAAGTGGGTTTTTGGGGGTACCAAAAGGGGTAGGGTAAATCACAAATTTAATATTATGGCTGCTTGACACATCTCAAACTTGGCTATTTCAAATATCTCTCAATCTTTAGTGAATTAAAAGGTACAGGACACCCTTTATATGCTTTAAGTATAAGATATTCAATAGTTGATATTGTATAGTATATATGTCATATAATATTTGCTCAACACCGGTGGCTGAAGTGAGTTTCAGGTCCTGATTTGTTTTCTTCACCTATCAAAAGTAACTTACAAATTTAATATTGCATTTGCCACCACAACTACTGTAAAATGATTAATTTTGATATATGAAGTTTGATTTGCTGGTAATTTTAAGTCTTCTAGTCTCAAAGAAAGTGTCTGTTTCAATCGTCACAGTTACCCATTTCATTGCTTTATCAATTGTTCTGCCTGTGTCCAATATTAAGGGCTTATTGTACATAAAAAGGCATTTTGTGATAAGCATGCAACTTGGCATGGACATGAGTTATATGACGATATTTAATTTGTGAAAGATTCATACTTATATCTTTATCTAAATTAATAATTGGTTCACAGTTGAGTCACCAGGAAGGCAGACTGACTGGTGCTCAGTAATCGTGTCAGCTACTACAAGGTAGTGGTACAGGTACTAAAGATATTGTTTTCAACAATTTTACTGAAACAGGATGTAATTGAGATTGGCCTATAATGTCGGGACCCCTTACCTCATATATAGCATTAACATTAATAAGTTTCCATGATGCAGGAATATGTCCAAGTTCCATCCTTTTGTTAAATAGTAGTGTTAGTGGATATGATATAAGAAGGGTGTTAGTTTTTTTTATTTATTTTGGGCACTATTCCATCAGGCCCTGCTAGTTTCTTAGCATTTAGTAGTTTAAGTTGGTCGATAACATCTTGTTCAGATATATCAATACTTTCTAATTGAAAAGAGTAGTTATTTACAGTAAGTAGCAGTGGGTCAAGATTAGGAGAGGGTGTTGCTATTGAGGTAAAGTAATCATTTAGTGTATTAGCTTTATCTATATGATGTTGGAGAGATAAACCGTTATGATCAAGAGTAGGAATGTTAGTTGATTTATTATTAAAATTAGATACAGACCTAGCTATTTTCCACCATTTAGATGGGGGTAAGGATTTTTAAGATACCTTTTCTTTTGTTTTCCTTTTAATTTCAATAGTTGAATTTTTAATATACCTTTTCTTTTGTTTTCCTTATAATTTCAATAGTTGAATTTTCAATATTTCTTTATTTATTCCAGTGGTATTGACTATAAGTTAAGTTTTCTTTAACAGATCCTAAATTTTCGTCTTAGTTTTAATCGGATTTCATTATTTACCCATGGCTTATCATATAGTAATCATTTTTGAAGGAATAAAGTTATTTATTTAATGATTAATAATAATGGTAAGTATTTGGTTGAATTCATCTGAGGTACTATTTTGTGCGTGTGTCATCCAGTCAATATCTCTCAGTGATATATTCATTTTGTCCAAATCAGCATTATCATACATTAATATCGTCTTTTTAGAACACCTATGTAAATAGACAGAGAAGGAGACTGTAATATGCATAGGAGAGTGGTGACTACCGAACTGAGGGCTTGTACATGTATTCTAAATGATTCTAGTATTATTAGTAAAGACAATATCTATAGATGTTTACCTATTATGAGTGATTCTTATCGGTTTATTTATTTCACTGTTAAGATTATATGTATTAAGAAGTCTACTAAGATATGAGTTAGGACGTAGATTTAACCTGTCAATATATATGTCGCATGTTTAGATTATGTCAAGTGAGATTTCACCAGCTTTATCCAATAAAATATCAAGTTGTGTCCAGTATTCCACATTAGATTCCGGTGTATACATAAACCCTAATAAAAAATTGTGATTACCAGTATGTACTTCTATCCAAATGAGTTCGACATCATCATATTCCAAGTCTTAATTTCTTTAAGTCTGAACAGTAATTTTATAATAAATCAAAACACCACCCCCATCCTATTTTGTCTTTTTATATATGGTTCATTTGAAAATGAGTCAAGCATGATATCATTATAGATAATATCTGGTGTTAGATGAGTTTCTGTTTATCAAATAGTGTCATTAAGGTGCAGCTCAGAATCAACTATATCGAGTTTGTTCCTTACAGACCTATCATTGAGTTGAGAGAGTTCTATAGTTTGCATGGGACCAGGGTTGAGCTCAATGTCATTAGCAATTAGTATTTTATGACAATGTAGTAAAGGACACGAGCACCCTAAACGTGTATATATCATGCAAGCAGATGGGAATCTGATTATTATACACATGTATACTCCTCCGTACTGCCCAATAACCGCTGCTAGGTACTTACAATATGTTAAGAGTGTGTCAATCATTTCAAAATTGTGAGGGTTCAGTCTGACGACTGGGCCCAACTACAGATGCCCGCATACACACCAACATACCAACATGTACATGTGTCATAACAGATGAATTATCAGTATGGGAGTATGCATACGAGCATCCGCAATGACCCCCCGCAATAAGGGCAGGTTCAACATGGACAAGTAATTAAAAAGCTCAGTAAATGTCAAGATAGCCTGGAGGCATAGGCATACACGTCCTGCCCACGAACTCCGTCCCTCCCCACCACTCCATGCCAATAGCATGACACAGAAGGGCAGAACGTTGACTCGTCCCACAACTATGGGTCAGACCATAGGGGCTCGCTACAAATGACCGAGGTACACATATGACACACCGATATGGCTCACAACACATAAACATACACGCATATGTGTGTTGTGACCCACACCAGCACAGCACACGTGCACTCAAGACACCTGCAACGAACCCCCATGGCCAGACATAGACGCCCTCGCTGTTTAGAACATGTTAGTATTCAAATGAAAAAAAGAAGAATATCTAAAGTATGAAAATGTCGAATCGACCTTAATATAAATAATAGGCTATTTACATACATACATATACTAATAACAAATGGCATTCGATAGAAACGTACCTTTCTATCACTGCACGCGTCCATTTAATCCCTCCTGACATAATCTGCGTAACTAATGCGCTTGATATTGGCATGTTTGCATTCGTTGGCATTAAGCATGAGATTGATTGAGATCATTAATTAGTTGTACGAAGTACAGTTTGGTCATTGTTTAAGGAACTGGACATTGCTTTTTAAAGTTTGATACATAGCAAAATCAAGTCAGTCATAATGGCCATTACTGGAAACGTGTACATGTAAAATTAATTAGTACAGATTCACACATTAGATCACAAGCAGTGCTAAAAATACCTGTTTTCACTATATTATGATTTATCTACTTGAAGGTTTATATAAGTCGCCATTAATGGCATTATTTAGTTTTGCTGTAAACACTGAAGAGTAAAGATGTAACGGCCTGATCATAAATTACTTGTAGAACAGTCACTATTAAATATAGTTACGATGATCATGGCAGGCTATTATTGTATAAATATATATACATATTTGTTTTTGAATAGATACACATATGTACGCACATGCATTGAGATATACAGAAAGTGTATATCCCTGCGTGCGCACCCAAACAAACGTATAATTAGTATAGGTAATTTATTACGGTCATACATTTCTATAATAAGCATCGTTTGTAAAGGGTAAATACTAGGCTTATGCAAGGTTGAGGCAATTCTAGTCACACATTGGGCCTACATCAGACATTTTGTGTGTGTCTAGATAGGAAGTTAAAATATAAATATAGCTGCAAATGCTTGTCACGTGATCTAACAGCGTTACAATGCACATATCTATTTGTTTACATGTACTTAAATTGTAGCAAGTGTGTAGTTTAATATTTTACAATAGGTCACTGAAGTCATTATTCCAAATAAATACAATTCAATTTATTACAATATTACTACATATTTACATATACATATACCTGTCATAGAAGAAGTTTTCGAAGCATTTTATTATGTATTGAATATAATATCAGTGTAATTTTAGAAGGTATGCATAGACATATTGAACCTTAAATAGTTTAATAATAATAATAATAATAATAATATACAGCATTTATATAGCGCCCTATATAATTTGTAAAATTACTCTAAGGCGCTTTACAACATATGGATAATAGTAACGGTTATAATTGTGAAAACAAACAACAAAGGCTTGCAATCACTTTCATACATTTAACAAGCAATGTACACATAACTGAATAAATAAAAGGGTGGTATTTACATGACGTCTTTGCAAAGATTCTAAAATGCAGACGTGAAGAGGTGAGTTTTTATGTCCTTCTTGAACTTGGCCAGGGTATTTGACTTCCTAATAGCAGATGGTAAGCTATTCCACAGCGTAGCCGAAACCCTCCCAAATCATCTGTTTCCGTAGGTCACAGTACGAGATTTTGGGACACACAACAAAGATTCTGACTCCGACCGCAGTGATCTTGACGGCACATACAGGGTAACAAGTTCCTGTAGGTACTGAGGAGCTGTTCCATTCAGTGCCTTGTATGTGTATACCAGAATTTTGTACTGCGACCTGTATCGTACAGGTAACCAGTGCAACGAATAAAGCGCAGGTGTGATGTGCTCTCTCTTTCGAGTACGAGTAGCTAGCCGTGCTGCAGTGTTCTGGACCCTCTGCAGACGACTAGTTAGTTTGTCAGATATACCACAGAGCAGGGCGTTACCATAATCCAGCCGAGAGGTAACAAGTGAATGCACCAAAATCTTGCATGCATCTGCAGTTAGAAACTGTCGAATACAGCCGATGTTCCTGATCGGGTAGTAACAGGATTTGGCAATAGCGTTGTTTCACTTGTTTCTCCATGTTCAGAGAACTGTGAAAGTATACCCCTAGGTTTTTAACAGCTGGAACAGTCTCAATAGTTCTGGCACCAACCTTGAGCTGCAGAGCCATTGTTTGCTGACACTTTGGGGAAAAGACGATTAGTTCCGTCTTTTCCTGATTAAGTTTAAGCATGTTGGCGTTCATCCAGATACTGATATCTGTCAGACAAGCTTCCAGACTTTCTGAGACTGTATTCCAACTGTCCTGTGGTTTTATGACCATGTAAATTTGTGTGTCATCGGCATAACAATAATAGCGAAGGCTATGGCGACGACAAATCTCTCCAATCGGTTTGGAGTACATACAATATTTTCGTGGTCCTAACACCGATCTTTGATGAACCCCGAAATCTAGTACTTTGTCATGTGAGGTGGCAGAACCGATGATAACACACTGTCGTCGTTCACTCAGGTATGACTGTATCCAGCATAGTGCGGTATCAGTCACTCCATAAGAGTTTTCCAGACGTTTATAAAGTATGCCATGGTCGATGACGTCAAATGCAGCTGACAAGTCCAGCATGACAAGCACCGCTCTGCACTTGTTATCCAATGCAGAAGCTATATCACTATGTACACGTAGGAGGGCCGTCTCAGTAGAGTGTCCCATGCGGTAGGCCGATTGCATGTTGTCATGGAGACTGTTTGCATGGAGATGAACCTCTAAACGCCGGGACACAACCTTCTCCAAGATCTTAGACAGAAAAGGCAGATTTGAAACTGGGTGGTAGTTTTTCAACTCCTCCTTGTCCATTCCAGGCTTTTTTAACAATGGTCTGACATGTGCCTTCTTGAAACATAATGGAACCTTTGACTCATCCAATGATTTATTCATGATTGCGGTAATCAAAGAAGCAGTGCTTCAAGACATTGCTTTAATAGGTCTGTAGGCAGTGGATCAATCTCACAGGACTTCGATTGCGAGGTCATGATAATGTTGCGCAACTCGTCCTTGGTTGTTGGTGAGAGCTTTGTCAATGGTTCCATATCAAATGCAATGTCAGCAGTCATGACAGAGATGACAATGTCAGCAGAGGTGTTCACTTTGGTAATATTTTTCCTGATTGAGCTGATTTTATTCAGAAAGTAATCACTGAACTTTCTTGCTAAGTCTTTTTCAGAATTACAGCTTGGTAGGATAATTTCATCTTTCTGTCATCATAATCACCATCATCATCATCATCATCATCATCATCATCATCATCATCAGTATCTTCCTTTTTACACTCACACATTTTCTCTTAAAAACGTTATCCATTTTTTAACTTCATTTTGGAAAAAAATATACGAGGTAAATATTGAAGGATTTTTTTTATTTATTTATAGATTTTGATTTTTCTAATATTTTTTTTACAAGACAAGACAAAACAAAAATGACATTATACAATAGTACATAATTGTTCATACACAGTAAAGCTTTCACCGGTTTACAGGTCATCATCATCATCATCATCATCATCATCATCATCATAATTGTCTTACATCATCCTCATCATCATCTGACAGTATCATTATCATCGTCATTATCTGACATCATGGTCATCATTATCCTCCTCAGATCATCATCCTCATTATCATTATCATCATCATCATTATCATCATTTTCATCATCATCATCACTATCTTCCTTATTACACTCACACATCATTTGCTCTTAAAAACGTTATGCATTTTTAAACTACATCTTGGAAAAAAAATAAACAAAAATAAAAGCTTTACATGAAAATCAACGCCTGTTCAGGTTCTATCTAGACGTGAACTCGGATCGCAGGAGTCCTTAACATTACACCATAGAACATTGTTTTACCTATCGTCTTGGATTAGTATCATGTTACTGATAACACATACAGAATACATGTAAATGCAGCCATATTAGTTTTGACCTGCTTATATACACTTCTCATTAACAGGTTGAGATCATCCAATTTCGTATTATTATGCATAGTTAATATTTTCTTGAATAAAAAAAAAATGAGACCTAATGACACTTTTTTTAGCAAGTGCAAGTTTTTTATTCATAAAACAATTCTTATGTTTCAAACCAGAGTTTCAACCAAGATACTGTGTCCAAGCCCTATTTAGTGTTCCAGTGATAGATAAATAAAAAAACTTACGTTTTGGTCGTGTCACATTATATAAGAATGAGTTTGTTTAAGCGCAGAATTCATGCTTGAGCATGAAAATGGCTTCATGAACACGGGTCCTTCTCTTGATATTTGCTAGTATAACAATTGGAAGCTAATCTTCCACACAATCTTGTTGTTAGTGATATATAATAGATAGGAAATAACGAAACCAAAGACGAACAAAAAATCACAAAATATATAACATTTATTCATCATAAATAACTTATTTTAAGAATATCACAGACTACAGAAAAAATGAAATCATGCAAAGATGTGATTCATTAATACACAGCTGTTATAATTTACGTAAATACGAATATTGTAAACTGAAGAAAATATGAAAAATCTACAGTAACAATTACATACCGTAATTAAGCGTCCTAAAATATTTCTGGGTTTGGAAAAAAACGTATGAAATAGTTCGTTGAGAGTTTGGGTAATGTCACCTAAGCGTCTGTATAAACATAAAACAATACTTAATTAATGTTTGTTTCTTATATTATGCTTCATTTAAATCCATGAGGTTGACAAAAAAAACCAGTCCACGGAGGGGATGAGGTTCAAATATTTTAGAAAAAAATCACATGGGTATCTTGGTCAAATAGTCAACCTATAAATATATAAAAATGTTATAAACTACAATATCATAATGTTGTACTGGACCTTTAATTCATTTAAATATCAACAAGAATATTAAACAAGTCTTACAGTTTGTTTTATAGCTTCGACTATCTGTCTAATGAATCCTGATTAAACATAGAACAATGTTATAGGTATAAAACATTAAATGAGAGGGGATGGATTATAAAAATGTAAGTTTTCCATCTTTGTATTACTAATAATAGAATCCATCCCTGATGTGAGGTATTGGTACGGTTATTCAAACCAAAGGGATACAATATTGAGCAGGAGACCCGAGGCCTTGCCGAAAGTCTTCTGCCTAATTTTTTTATCACGAGGGCTTTAATTACCTTATTAATACCTCACATCAGGTATGGATTATATTTCATGCTTATTACCTAAACCCCGTAAAAACAGCTTCTTTGCTAGTAAAGTTGTAAACTGTCCGCAAATGTCTCATTTGCATATGAAGTCCGTATAGCAGTTGTTAATGACGTTGAAGTACCAAGTAATTTCCCAAAGCGTACATGTACATTAACGACATATTTCCCAATTTAATAGTCGATGTCTTTATCTACTTAACCCAGTTCTGTTGCTTAAGAGACAATTGACATACATTGAGTTTACTTTCTCTTAATATCATCATGTCTTCAATACATTGTGTATTCGCTGTCACTGTCTGTGACTTTTCATTTACTATAGTTAGGTCATCAGCATAAATCTCTGTTTGATTTAAAAATTTGGAAAAAAGATCAAAATACTCATAAATCGATTATTTTTGTTGTATGCATTGAGATATTTTTATATTTGTAGGTATGCTTTTTAATTTAAATTTTGTTTTATTCACATAACATATATAAAAAATAACACCAACATGAATGATCATTAATGAACAAGAATTCTTTTATCATAACCATCATTAACAACTGTAGCTACAGTGACAGTGACGTGAAGGAAACGTCTACAGGGGAAGGTGGGACAGAGATGAAGAAATGTAGTGTTAACTATAAAATATGTTACATGTACACAATATAGTATTTCATTATTATGAATTTATGTTAAGAATTCACAAATTATGTCTGTTAAAAGAATATTTAAGGACACCTGTTCCGATGCAGACAGAACAAGAGAGAATATCACCACACTTCATCTCATCACCCCTCCACTTCGTTTAAGTTGTAACTGGAGCGGAATACGACAAGAGACTTCCAGATAGCTCCATTAGATAGAGCGACCGTCTCTAATACAGTGATCCAGGGTATGCTACATGGGTACGGATTCAATATTGTAATTGTAATCGTGATCCGAATATCAAACATGATATCTAAATGTCTGCAATTATTGCAATCATTTCCCTTTGTCTAGCACTCTTTTTGACTTTCCTGTTCCTGTACTTTCACAGAAGACAATAGGTGATGCATTACACTTCCCTGGGTGAATGTGTTTCGTCTACAATTTAACCTATTCACCCCTAAAGTCACATTTAAACCAATCAAATCAAAGACTGGACAAATCCAATTTTAATATATAGAGATGAATGAGTTAAGGGGTTCTATAGAACCCCCGGTTGGTTTGATGACCTCTTGGTTCATGAAGTTATTATTTTCTGTTCAATATTATCATGATTTTGTTTTTTGTTTGTAGAATTGTAGTAATTTAAGTTGAAACCTTTGTCACTGAATAAAAAAAAGTCAGTCTTCTGTATCTTTTACACCTTGTGTATTCTTTCGTTCCTGAAATTAAATAAAAATCAAAAATTTCAAAACTAGTTTGACTCATCTGCCACAAGAACAAAGCAACTACCATAGCATACATTACTGGAATGACGACCAATTCCTTCACTGTTTACCAAACAGATATAGAATACAAAGATGTAACAACAAACGATATCAGCAGCCATCGACCGGCACTGCCACTCTTGTTTCACTGGTAAAGATAGTGTGCTCAAATAAATTATATCGCAGTTAATGTAACAGTATGCATTTAATGTTGTAAACTACCTTACTACTCTGGATTATCTTTTGCTGATAAAACATTATGTATGTTTACTTCTGAATATCTAATTTTGAATATCGAGCCTACATTATAGAATGAAAAAACATTAGCTGACTACCTACCCGCTTCACGTGTAACCTGAGCTGTTTTTCTTCATCATTACCGTCTATGGAAGACATTGCCATTTTCTCGAAAGCGACTCTGTACCTATAGTGGTAAAAATTGATGAAAAAAAATCTACTAAACGTACATAATTTTAAACTCATGATTGATCGACAGAAAGCTATCAAACGTAAATAATGTACGAATGGTGCCTTACACAAATCATGAGTACAACGATACTCTGAGAATCAAATATTTAGATTTACATGTAATGTATCTAAATTCATTTTAAAGGGGACGTGATATTGATATGGAGCAGAATGAATACATTAAAAATTTAACTGTATACATAATTTCCGGATCACAACCATTTTAGTCGTCTCCAACAATATTAAATTTGCGAATGAAGATAAGGCAACATATGAGTTTCTGTCGTTTGATCTTTACGTGTTTTAGTATTATGGATGTCCTTAACTGTTATTATGAATACACTCATTAAATCATAAATGCTAGATTGATTATAAATAATTTTCCACTATTATGAGCTCACTGTACAAATAAAAAGCGATTAACACAAATATAACGTATTGATTCACGAATGTATTAGGCTTTACAAGTCGTGTTTCAGGCAATGTTGGGATACCTGTTTGAAACGGCGACGCGACCTTTTGTTTCCAAGTTGTTGGGGCCGTCTTCCTGCTTACAGCTTACCGAGAAATTTAAATTTGATTGATATCGAACACCACGTCATAGTTCATGTGCTTTTTAGATACTATCTATTTACAGCAACAATACAAAGGAAATTATGACATTGCATGAAGATACGAATAATCAGCAGAACCACATCTGGTTCTTTCTCGAGAGATCTGTCTCTGAAAGAGATTCTCAAAACATCTTTGTAGGTTATATTTTCGAAAGATCTTAATAGGTGAAATATATTCTCGAAAGGTCTCAATAGGTAAATTAGAATATCGCGAGAACTCAATAGGTGTAATAAGTTCTCGAGAGATCTTAATATGTGACACATAATCTCGAGAAATCTTTATCACTGAAACAGATTCTCTAGCGATCTCAACAGGTGAAATAGATTCTCGAGAGAAATCTCAATAGATGAAATAGATTCTAAAGAGAGGTGAAATAAAATCTCCAGAGATCTCAATATGTGAAATACAATTGTGTGACCGCACAACGCACCAAAATTAGCGTGCGCTCATCTTGCATACATCGTGCACACACCGTCCGCACATCGTCCACACATGGTGCGCACAACTAGGCGATTTAACAAATGTTCACACCATTGTGCGCTTCTCTCCGCACACATGTGCGGTTTTGGTTGATCAATTTTACGAAATGAAAAAATGTCCGGTACGCTCGTATGGAATAAGCAACACTGTATTTATTTTTTATCATCATTCTAATTAAGATTATGTTCAATTTTATAATCAAGTAACACAATATTACAGTGACCGTTAGCCTGTCAAGAATGGGTTTCGCTCCCAGGTAACAGAACAGGTAAATAACATGTTGATGACTGACCCGAGTGTTTTACCTGGCGCCCTGTTCCTTACATACAGAGCCGATATATGATACCGTATGACTGTAATGAAAACACAACTGCATGTCAAGTATTTGTAATTTGCATTCGTTTTGGTCTATAGCTCCCCTTCACATGAATTTTTACACCTGGCGAGTTACGTAAGTGCCCCGGGTGGGGAAAACTACGGTCCAGGTACACGTACAAAGTGGCTATGTTTACCTGTATATGGGACCGTGTCCATCCGTGTTACATTTTTACATGTGTCGATTTGGGTCGTTTTAAAAACCACCGAAACACCATTTCTAAATTGAAGAATATAAAGAAAGATCAGCTAATATATTTAGGTATAATATAGAAACATATTCATAAAATAAATTTTATTTGTTTTAACACGAAACCGTATATATTGTTAAGCCATTTCTTAATTTACACCAACCACGATTGTCATCGCACAACGTTCATCCATCGTCCACACAAATGTGCGCAAACAATAACCGTCCAGATTGCACATCGTGTAACGTTGTGCGATCCAGCAACTGTAGATTCTCGAGAGATATCAATAGGTGAAATAGATTCTCTAAAGATCTCAATACATCTCTAGGTTTCTCAATAATAATAATAATATACACAACACTTGATATAGCGCCATATCCAGCTAGAATAAGCCACTCTAAAGCATTAGCATATACATAAATCAATATAATTTTGAGGAATTTGCAGGAGCTGCCTTATCAGGTGCTAACTACTAGTTCTATGCCACCTGGCAAATATCTCCCTATGTGTGTATGCCTGCATGTGTGTTGGATATGTATTGTGTTCTTTTTGTAGTGGACCGTGCTTCCAACCTCACTTAGATTGCTACAGCACAGATACCGCAACATCAACCCCAGACCATTTTATATTCCACCTTGGTTGTTGGAGTTGTGTGGGAAGGACAAACAGTTTCTCTGAATATTCCTTGCGTGCGATGACTTCGGGGATCGAACCCCGGCCGCCTGCGTAGAAGGCCAGAATGTTAAACACTCGACCAATCCGCCGATAGCGGAAACCGATTCTCAAGAGATGTCAATCGGTGAAAAGATTTGTGATATCTCAATTGACTAAAACAGTCAGGCATAAATGATGTATAAACTGAAAAAAAAAAGTATTTGCTTCTTCATAATTTGTGATTATCTGATCAAAGATTACCTTTTGTTATTAACAGAAACCATTGAAGTTTTACGGTGTTTGGACCAGTCAGATTCTAGTTTTCTTGTGTTGCCTGCATCAAACGAAATCCATTCGATTTGACCTTCCTGTTGATAATTCCAAGATGGGGTGCTACTGTCGGGTTCTGGCATCTCTTGAAATTCTATGAGGCTACGCTCTTGTTCCTGTGTCGATTGAACTTCGGATGCAACGCCTGCGGATAATATTTACATACACAAAATATATTTAACAAGATAAGTTTGCTCTAGAATCTTCTATATTTAGGTTTTGGTGATGCATACACATTGGTTTTATAATTGAAATTGCGAAATAATATAAAAACCTCATTTGAACATGTGTAAGGAGAACAAAAAATGCCTCTACGTGTATTTGAATTTTGTAATAGTGCCATAGTAATATATCTGTTGTGCTTTTTTATAATAACTCCGCCGACTGGCCTAACAGCAGAATTCCCTGAGCAATTCGGACAAAGAACCACGTATAAAACTGTTGTAAAACATTTCTCTCATTTCCCTGTGTGTAAGATACAGCTGTCCAGGGTAAGAAAGGGGTGTAGGAAATTACTAGCTTACACCCCATTTCACGTGACATGACGTCACAATGACTAAACAATGACGTGACGTCACGAATTTGGAACTCTCCGATGCTGCAATGCGGGAAAGGCGACGTGATGAAGTAAAAACCTTTTACTATATATTTACCTGCACGTTAGAAAGATGTGATTATTTTTTTCTGTGCAAACATTGTTTGCAAATATGCTTTATTTGGCTGATTCGTTTTCATCTAAAAAGCTCAGGGGAAAAATTGATATTTTCAAAATGGTGGCCAGTCCAAACGCATGTCATAGTTTCTGGGCTTATTCTGGTGGTTGGAATGAGTGAAAAAAACTTTCATGGACATGGGGTGTAGGATAGGGACATTCCACCCTCGGATTTTCAAATTTGGCAAAACCCTCGGCAAAGCCTCGGGTATTACCAAATTTGAAAAACCCTCTGGTGGTAATGTCCCTATCCTACACCCCTGGGCATGAAAGAGTCTTATAATCTTTACAAATTCTTTAAATTTGAAATAAAACATTTCTTAAATGTTTTAAGTATAACGGAACGTACATTATACCTGTTTTTTCATGATCGTTGAATTTGTAAGGCATCAGAAATGTGGTATTTGAGTCAGATATTCTGGTAAAGTAAGTCGAGAAATCAACATTCTTATATGGTTTCGAATAATGTTGGGTGTCTGATGATAATGTGTTCCCTGGTTCAAACTCAATGGTGCTTATGCTGCTGTAATACCCTGCTGCCTGAGCTTGTCTACAAGAGAAGTTAACTGATATAAATGCATACAAAGTGCGTTTTACAAATGGACAATTCGATTCCATTAAATCATGTTCATTTCGACTACAATAGGTTGAAATATCATATTATCATTCTTTAATGTGTAATCAGAATGTTAAGATGAATTGAGCAATGCTTACTCTTCTGAAGTGTCCAGCAATATCACTTCATCCCCGTATCTGTATTTCCCAATTTTCCTACTTGGCCAACGAACCTGAAATACAGTGAATGCTATGAAATTCATTTTAAATTTCTACACTATCCTGAACTACTTTAAAACAACATGACCAGTTTAGCATATATTGTTCACACATCTGATGCTTTTATTGCTTAAGGTATCAACCTTTATGAAAGTTGTATACTAGCATAAAGCTTGTGCTTTACGCCACATGCATTCACATGTAATTCAATTTAGCACAAATGCTAACGTTCCTAAGTAAGGGTTGATGCAAGTGATGTTTTGCACTCCTAACCACCTATCAGCGCATGGGAAAATATAAAAGAACATGTAATCAGAATGAATCCGTTCTGGCCTATGCCGGCCGTAATTTACGAACTACAAATTTGGTCTCCTCAACGACCGTATCAACAAACGATTTTGTCGACGTTACACTTTCATGAACCTTTCAAACAAGTTATGTTTCATATCAAACAGGTTAAGGATAGCGATAGTCCCCCATGACGTCATGTCATGTTTACGTATCAGATAAACCACGCAGAGGATAGCCTCGAGTTGACGTCACGTCATTTGGAACGTATTATATCAACCAATCAAAGGATAGCCTCACCAGACGTCACCATATTAGTGACTTATTTATGAACTTGGCTGAGGATAGCTCCGCGTGACAAAAAGTCAAACACTGCGATAAGGAAGCCTGCGTATGACACGATTAGAAAGGGGCGCAAGTAAAATATCGGTTACATGTCACAAGTAAAAGACGGTACTACTATAAAAACAGTACAACAAATGCAGGGTGAGTATTATATGTAAGTATATCAACATCACACAGCATTTGTACAATTGTAATATGTAGTTAACAATAGATTAACAATACAAAAAACTTGGAACACAAGCAGCAGTTTTATAATTTGTGATAATTTCCATATGTATGAGCAGAAAATTTATCAACAGCGTTCACAGGGGAAACAATTGGTAAATTATCGTACGATAAACGTATCACACATATAAGTGAATGTACCTTCAATTTGGTAACAGATACAGTATACCAACAAGAAGTACTCGTAATTACAGGTCTCGCCGTTACCCGCTTCGTGTTTTTTCACACAATTTATGCTTATAGCATTTTCAAATAAATTCCGTCAGAAAGGAGAATTTTCATAACCATGTGGTAAGCTGCGGATACACGTTTTACCACTGGATCAAATGAGTAAGACAGTATCTTCTCGAAAAAATAAAGCGGTACCGGTACATATATTCCGCTTATATCACATGCATACATGAAACTGTGATAGATGCATTCATAGGTGTAGCTAATATGCACTGTTAAATATGTGCAGTGAAATGGTTCTGAAAGTAAATATGTTTAATTACTGTAAATACTTAAGGTGTGTATAAAAACCAAACTAATTCTGACAATGACTAAATGAATTATGTCCAATTCTAAAAATCGCTCGAAATTCTACGTTTTCTGCCCAAGAAATGGAGCCAAGCATTTCAAATCTCTGTTTCTGACCCACAATGTAAATGGAGCCAAGCATTTCAAATCTCTGTTTCTGACCCGCAATCAGTTGAACACTGCATTATCTACTGTGGTAAAAACCAAAAATTTAACATTAGCTTGCCAAAAACACAAAATTCCCCCAAAAATTGATATGGTCATATGAGCAAGAAACTTGTATAATATTTTGAAGTACTGTGTATACTGAAGGTGTATATGAAATTTGAAATAAATCTAAAAAATATTCAAGAAGTTATGTCCAGTTCTCAAAATCACCCAAAATACTATGTTTTCTGACAAAAAATTTGTTGTGGTTATCTCAGCAAAAAACACTAATATATATTTAAGTGCTGTGTATACTGAAGGTGTGTATGAAATTTGAAATATATCTAAAAAGTATTCAAGATGTTATGTCCAATTCTCAAAATCACCTAAAATACTGTTTTTGGCCCAAAATATGTAAAACAAATATCCCCACTTTGACTTCATAGTATGCAAGGTAGACCCCAAAAGAACCTTCATGCGAAAATTCAATACCATAATGCCATCATTAACTGATTAAGAAGCATATAACGAAAACTTAACGTTGAGCTAAACGCAATGTTTGACGCCGTCGACGCGGGCGGAAAAGCAACATCTTAGTCTCGCTTTCGCTCCTCCGTCTCGGCGAAACAAAAACGAATTACACTGCACCAAACAGCTGCCTCATTTTGGCACTCATCGGTGATGCTAGGTGCCAAAAGCTTAGATATCCAATTTGGTCTCAAATTTGTAAAGAGCTGCTGGAGAAACTAATAGTTTTGCTAGTCGTTAATTACCCCTGTGGTACATTTGGACAGATTTTCGGGCAATTTCTTCGCTCCTGCTATATTCAGGGTGTAAATCTGAACGACTCTGTCATTTGGATACATTTTTATTACTGAAAATTAAAGCACGCCACAATTCATGTTAAATCAACAGAAATATATCCAACGTTATGTTTAGACAGTAAAGACGTGTTGTAAAACGATAATCTGAGTATAATTTAAGGACTCGACCAACTAAATCACTAAGTGTACGCTACTAAGCATGTACATATAATCTACTAGCTATACAGTTATTTACAGTTTAGCAATATTGCTGACTGTCTGGTTAAATGGCAATGAAGAGCATGTCGAGCGCAAGATTTTTACGAGGGGACCGGTGTCGCTTGACAAGAAAGATAGACCTAAATGAAGTATCACTGTACGTTTTTCGAAAGTTAAATACTTGTACATTTCACGTATTACAAGTTTCGCCGATGCCACATTGAAATACCTCAGAGCACAGTATTTTACCAGAACAAATCGGGAAACGAAAGCACGAAACACTTGCTTATTGACTGATTAAGTTACGTGGGTCCCTTCATACGGAACTGGACATTACCGTAAGTGTTCCTTTCCTTGAACACAAACACACAACGCCACATGATCCCCGACCTCCGTCATCATCACCATCAATCCAATCCGGCCCTGTAAAACATTTCCTGAAATTACTGCGTGCAAATAAACCAACAATTAGAACACTCAAAATATAATCGTTAGTGAATGGAATTGAAGAAACGCCAAAATGATTTACATATGTTGAAAAATTAACACCATGTGCCTAGGAAGGATATGCGATTCATTGTTCGCCAAACGTCATAACCTCATTGAGCCAGGAAGTGGATGTAAAAATTAGGATGTGCATAGTTTGTTTTTGAAATAATTATATTCTATCATACAATCATACACAATACCTCTTTCAACCTTGCAGCCGACTTGTATCCATCCATCGTCCCTAACCGCCCGTTCGTCATTGTCTGTGGACAGTACTTGGCAAGGATCGTAACAGTGGTATGGTAAGGGTATGATACCACAGTCCCACAGCACAGCTACAGTACCTTAATGATAACGCGTATGCATACAGGAGTATAAAGAGTTAAACACCAAATCGTTCCGTTTATAGAATATAATATGAGTAGAAATTCAAAGCCATCAAAATATGGTATGATTTTAGTGGATATGTATGATGCATTAGTAATTACATCAGATACAGTCCTACTGAACGTAAATCACGGCTGATTTAACAGTAGACTTACTACATTAGTGCTAATGTTCATCAACTGTGTCTGTTTTATAAACTAGGTACACATGTAATGCTACTGTACATTAATTATGCCTGATTTATAAACAAAATGCAGAGGTTGTTCTACTGTACATAAAATATCCGCCGCTTTTCGAGAAAAAGAGAAAATTAGGTGTGTCGTTCTGTTCGTTCATCTGTCTGAGTGTCTATCACGCTTTAGTAACTGCATAATTACTGCCCTGAAATTGGTCGATTTGATCAAAATGCCATATGCACATACACAAACGCCAGATTCTTTGTCTAATATATAATGTGACGTGACCGTATTACGCCTAATTAAGGAGGCCTGATTCTGACTGGTTGAATTTTGCCGTCCAATAACCTTTCGAAATGGGTTCCCCTATTCATAACAATGGTATGACGTCACGTCAACAATCCATCAACGTCACGTCAACCCTGAATTTTGCATGTAATGTTAACATTACATTATGTATATTTTACACAATGGGAGAACAGGGTAAGAGAAAAAAAATCATTAACCCCATTGTGAGTGAGATAGGGAAATCTCAACCCTCGGGAAAGATTTTTAAGTTGGCAAAAAACTCGGCAAAGCCTCGTGTTTGGCAATTTAGGAATCTTCCCCTCGGGTTGAGATTCCCCTATTTCATGGGGTGAAAGTTCTATTAATCAGTTTCCGCATCATATTGGCAAGTCCTTCACTAAGAATGTCAACACCAAATCTCAAAAATTGGTCATGGTTACAACATTGTCCTGGATATAAATTCAAGGAATGTGTTTGTTACGTGTAATGATACCAGATAGAATAAAGTGTTATTTAAGGTTTGAAATGCATCTTTTTAACATTATGAGGGTATGTAACACAGTTCTGTTCAAACATATTCCATTTTGCGCGTTAGCGCATCTTGGAAAATATGTTTGAACGTTAGCGCGTTAGCGCATCTTGGAGAATATGTTTGAACGGAACTGTGTTGCATACCCTTATAAATGTTAAAAAGATGCATTTCGAACCTGATATTCACGTTGTATTACATCCACTTTTATTATTTGAAATTAAGAAAAAATGCAATTAAAATGCAATACACCGTCATGAAAACAACATTAATTGAACAGCCTTTTTCGCGGGAAAGATGATGCGTTGTCAAAGGTGACGAAATACACTTTGCATATTTTCTAATAATTTAATTTATATTACCAGCGTGTTTAACAAGCATTGATTATCTTAAAAATTAACAGTAGATCTTAATTAAAAACAAAGATACCCTGTCAAATATTTTAGTTTCAAAAATCAGAAATTTATTCTGTGTTCGCGGAGAAAGCTGACCGTTAAAAACGGCTGTGCATCGGCTACGCTTTCAACGAGATAGAAAGTGCATTCGTGAAATGTGGAGTTTCCTAAGTTTCCTAAGAAACCAGATGACGATTGAAAAGATGATGTTGTGTCGATCGACTGTGTCAACCGGACTAGCTCATCGTTTTAGCATTCGGCATGTGTTACCGTCGATGAGGGGACTGGTCGACGAGCCGGAATGATTTCACCTGCTTCGCCACTTGCAACGGAAGCTAGTGTAGAGGACAGTGAATTATTGTGTTCTGTTGAAAAGGACCTGTTATAGGATCTAATAGCCGACACGCTTCGTTGGCCCGACATAAGCATGTTCCATATTCTAGTGACACGTCCGCGACGTCGCTGTCAGACATATTGGCTGGAGCATATAGGGGTTCGTTACAAATGTGTGTGGCTGGGTTATGAGAAGTTCTTTTCACACAACCAATAACATTTTCTATGTGACGTTTCGATGGCTAGTACGATAAGTACACTGTCACCTTCATCAGACAAATGACCAATGAAGCGTATGCACACAAAGGTGTAAAATGTGAACGAGTTGTCTATAAAATCGATGTCGATTTCGGCTACGCTGGAAACGTATGTACAATAGTTGTTATATATGTACCGAAATGACTCAATTCAGCTACGCTTTGTTAACACTTGGTATTGGTCTATAGAAAAATGACCCCTACGGACCAATACCTGAACTTCAAATCTCACCATCCTTTACACCAGAAGTTAGACGTCATACGCACATTGCACAACAGATGTGATACAATAGTCACATACCAACAGGACAAAACGAAAGAGCAGAATCACATCGCTAGGGCAATGAGAACATGTGCATATCCGGAATGGGCCATAAAACGGGTAAGAAAACAGTGTAAAAGTAAGGCGAAGAACAAGAAAAGGCCAATCAAGTATAAGAACAAAACCAAAGGTCAAGTGGTCATCCCGTATATAAAGGGTATATCCGAAACCATCCAGAGGTTATATCGCGGTCATGGCATAGAAACAGCCATGAAGCCCCACAAGACGCTTCGCAATATCATAGTACACCCTAAGGATAAAACACATAAAGACAACGTCGCAGAATGCGTATACGAAATCGGATGCAAAAACTGTGACGCGTCGTATATTGAAGAGAATGGAAGGCGATTTGGGGTCCGCCTTGGTGAACACCGGAAAGACACAGAAGGTAGGAAATTCACCAGATCTGAAAGAAAACAGTCGGAGTCCCAGATAAATAAATCGGCAATCACAGACCATGCCACACAGACAAACCATGTGATTGACTGGGATAACTCCAACGTTTTAGACAGAGAGAGCAATCTGTTCAAGCGGCAGCTAAAGGAAGCCATCTGGATACGCCGCAGTGGGCCAGTTCTAAATCGAGACGAGGGGGCTCAAAGACTCTCGCACATCTATGACCAAGTGTTAACAAAGCGTAGCTGAATTGAGTCAATTTGGTACATATATAACAACTATTGTACATACGTTTCCAGCGTAGCCGAAATCGACATCGATTGTATAGACAACTCATACACATTTTACACCTTTGTGTGCATACGCTTCATTGGTCATTTGTTTGATGAAAGTGACAGTGTACATATCGTACTAGTCATCGAAACGTCACATAGAAAATGTTATTGGTTGTGTAAAAAGAACTTCTCATAATCCATACTTACCAACCTGAAGAAAATGTTTGGAAATGTGTGTGGCTTGAGTTAGGCCTAGCACACGGCGTATTTTAGATGCTGAATACGCGGACTTAAATTTCTTTAAACATGGTAATTTCTTGTTGATAATATCAAAAGAAGGATTATTAAAATGTATTTATGTGTATTTTAACCGTTGATAAACAATCACATCTTGTTTTGGTTTGTTTGTGTGTTTGTGT